GACCGTCTGCTGGAGACTACAACTCCAATCCTTGTAGATAGATGTGTGGTTACATCGTGTTGAGAATTCTCTTATTGATTCTCAGGCACCAAAAACTTGTTTGGTGACCATTCTTTTTGCTGTTTAGCACGTTATCTTGCTCTTGAAAAATGTTTGGCTGTATATAACAGTCTGTACTGTTTAAGATTTCTGTACTTTTGATAAAATTCGTTTTTTTCTGAAATAAGAACCGTTTAGAATGAGCACGGAATTTGTGTTTTGGCGTGATTTACTATGAGTCACTCTAAAACGCTTCGCACACTATACAGATGAATGAACTTTGGCCTAATCAAATAAACGTCGGTTTGTTAACTCCAAGTTCAAATAAAATCTGCGATTTCGATCGTTACACGGATTCAAGAACACTACCAGTTTAGAGCATCGGGATCCGCACGAACTCCGTAAGCTAAAATGTTGGGCATGATATTCAAATCGACGCTAAAAGAGTAAAACACCACCATGAATACTAGCAAAGAACTGTGAAAACTAGGTCATCACTGCCGCAAGTCTTATGGTTTAATGGTTCTGCCGGCCATAAATAACTTAGTACACGAGAATGAGTCCATTTGATTTTAGCCTTTTGAACATCTATAATGGAGCTTTAAGGACCAACAGAACATGGCTATCACTGATCTGAATACTTGGAGCCACTTAAATATTAAATCTGTTAGTCTCATAGCTTTATAGCGGACAACGCTACTGTTGCTGCTGCCATTATAATTTGTGAATAGATTAGCCGTAAATTCAATACTATTCTCCATAGGTCACAACTACGAAAAGGTTTCACCAGATTTAACATGAAACCTAGTCTTGATACCAGCCACATGTAACGTGCCAATAAGTTGGATCTTTAACTGACTGATTTTTTAAAGGGTAGAAATGTGTACATACAAATGAGTATTTATGCATATTCTTCTGTAGCCCAACGGATTTTTTCAAACACTATTGTCTTTCCGTTCAAGTAGTCAGTTTGGTGGTCAGTGCTTGGCACGTTGTTCATCAGTGTTAGATCTCGGGAACTGTGCACATATTATTATTGGAAATTATATATTACATATATAACACTCATAGCTTACATCAAAGTTCCACCTCACAATTAACGCCTAACGTGGATCACCCTATAGTATCATCTACCTACGGTGACTGCTTTAACAACTCTAATGAACAAATACGAAGTTACTTAAGATACATATTATTCGGAACAGCTTATAAAAGCTTTAGGCCGAACCGCTGAAACATGAGTATGTCAAAGCCCTGTCAGTCGTTAATCCGCCTTAGTCATATTCGACCTTCACGATGTTTGATGAACTTGTAGTGATATTTGATCTAATCACAATCCTCAAAGCTGAACATGAGATAACTAGGAAAATAGACTTTCCACATGTGACACTAAGAGAAAATCCATAATGGTGAACGCGAGAACGTTCACTCAATTCAGTTCATCGAATGGTATGACCCGGCCTTTCAGGTGTAGTCATTCTTACGTAACATCTTTATTCATATTAAATATATTGTTCTATTTCCAGCTTAAATATGTTCTACATCACATGTTGGTGATTGTAACGATAGGACGAAGCAGTGTATACACTGGTGTAACTTCCATGTAAGATCTTGTAGATCAGACTATCACATCATGATAATTCTACAATTTTAGGATTAGGTCCATTATTAGAGAAGTACTTTTATCGAAGTAGACTACAATTCTATAAACTATCCAACGTTCAGGATCCTCTCATGTAATGTAGGAAGGTTTCAGCTTAATGTCTGATCTTTCTGGGAATCACTAACATTTCACTTGCCCTACAATACTTTTATTTAGCGAAATCCGAAATGGCTTCAAGAGTCTGATAGCCACGTTTATTACACAGCGCGGAGAACAGTGGAGCGTATGTTGGCGCAAACATTTTACCATTTAAACACAATGCCCACAGAAAATAAGGAAGTAGACAATTCTAGCTTCTAGGTGAAATGTTTTTATCTCAACATCAGGTTATTGGTTGACTACTAACCATTCACTTTCGGCTTCTCTTTAATCATGGGCGTGACACACAGTGAACTATCTATTCAAGCTTGAAGTTTTAGATTCATGGTTGAAAATGACTGTTGTATACAGCATAGTTAGGGTATAAGGGTAAACAGGAGAGAGATTCTCAACTAGGACCGTGTGTAGTACACCAATTGCAAAGTGCAGAACCGCCAAGAGTCCTGATCACATCAGAGCCCATTACCAGTGTCTAAAGTCTCATAGAGATTATTGGCCAAACACAAAGAGATGATAGATAAAGGAATAACCCACTACAAATAAAAGAATCCGATATTCAGATTGGATCACGAAAATTCAGAAAAACTTGACATTTTTGTTAGTTCCGAATTAACGAGATACAGTTAACGACGAGCCTAACTCAAACAGATTCGTGAAAGTCTGTAAAATCAATAACCCTTTTTGCAACTCTTGATAATTGATAAGGAATAATTAAAAAGTCACTTGGTGAACGCTAGTGGCAGTAGCTCTGTTATGAGCTCTCCGGTGGTTCCAGGTGGGGCGCTTATTATCATTTCTCAGGGTGAAACAGTACCGAGACCACAAAATTCTCTAGTAACTCCTCAAGTTACTAATGGGACAACAGTCTTGATGTCTGTATAGATTTAAAAATGATGTCGTTTTGGTCCTGCGCAGCCCCCAGAGAAACGTCAGGTGTCCTTTCCTATAAGTAAATTCAAAACACAATGGCTGGGTTGCATACTGTTCTGATGATCAGATCTATAAATATGAATTGTATAAAATCACTCAAAAGAATAGCATTACAAAACTACAAAGTCTTTCAAGTTGTCCAGCAGGATTAAACAATCTAAACTACAATACATCGGTTTGGTGACTTGATAAAAGGCAGGATATTATTATCAGCTGAAGGAATAAAATTACATCCCTGTTAATCAGGGAACATTATTCTGCACTTTTAGGATAGGTCGAAATGATCGGTTTGAAGATCAGTAACCAGATTGAGGAAGATGAAGATAGCAGACTTCGAGGCTGGAGGTTAGGTGAAAGCAAAAATAACGTAGTCTGCAAAAGCTGTGTGGTAAAGCAAAACGTTCAAGCAACCGAAATTACAGTTAGAATAGGTAATAACAGTTATTGTGTAAAGCCAAGAAGTCGACGGGACATGCCAATGAAAATTTCAAAAGGACAACCTTACGTTCAGAGCACAACAAAGAATTTTCGTCACTGATGATTCATACCAGGAGAGATTTTTATAGGTAAGTATACACAAGTGCGGAGACGTACAAAGTCGGAGGTTTAGTTTTTTCTGTCATTAGACCTTAAAGACTGAGTGGGATTAAGCTACGTATTAACTTCGTCAATGGCTTGCCAAACCACTCTGGGAGTTATTCACTTACTCATTAACCTAGGTCACCAACTCTTCATTTGAATGGACGTCACTTATCGACTAGGAAATAATTAAAGATTAACGGCTTAAAAAGTCATTTTACAACATCCACTAGTCCATCACCTGTAATATTGCTAGCTGCACCGGTTATTGTCAAATGTTGGTATTACTGTTCAAAAAGTTTGTAAGTAATCAGCTGGATTAAACCACAATATTTATGTGAGTGATGCGTAATCTTCTTACTTCAACTGTCGAATAACAACCTTATTCATCAGGTCAACAGTAACATGTAGCTCTATTTGAAATCATCATTTGGGTGAGAATATCTTTACTTTGTCTTCGCTCGTAACTAATCTAGCCATTGTAATAAGCCAGGAAATGAAAATCAAAACTCAATATTCTTTTGAACTTGGCTACGAGATATGTATCCAGACCAAGCATATAATGAGGATATTACTGTGATCTGCAGACATTGACAACAAATATATTAGAGTTTGTTATCTATATAGTATCCCCTTTTCAATATTCAGTATGTACTTTATTGCAAACCTTCATCGGCATTTTTCGCTCACTAGGTAGATGAATGCTGTATATAAGAGCACGACATTCACTTTATTTAGCACTGTACTTAATTTTTTGTTGAGTGATTTGTGATGCGTCACAGCAGAGTACTCATATAAGATAAAGTTATACTCCTGCTTAAAATTATGCTACTATATGACACATTCACCCACCTCGAAAATACTATAAACTGCACTTTAGAGCTTTATAGGTAACTCGAAGTAACGTTTTCAGATAATTTGATAACGTTTTGAATTTTAGTAAACTTTTTTGGGCCCAAGTTGGAGCATCAAGGCTTTATGTTTCCTGCTTCAAAAGAGCAATGATGGTCCAGAGAGTATCCAATAAAAAGCCACAGAACAAGTGTAGGAACTCAAGCGCAAGCCTTATGCGGTAAGCATTAAGTCGTTGGGCCCTTACTTTCAGAAAGTAAAGACACATTACTAACAAAGCTCATAAGCATAGAATCACAAGGACATGAATATAAAACGTAGATTTGCTGAAGTTCACAATTTTCTAAGAAAACAACAGAGTTACCATGAAGCTAAAAATGGCTGAGTAGTCACGATATGTGTGAGTTATTAAAGTCTGTTGGTAAGCTAGGATGAATCATGTAATTATGTAATAGTACTAGAGACTTCATAACTTAAAACAATATCTCAGAGAAATTTACGAATGCTTCTTTTATTTGTCTATATCGCCTACCTGCGTACCCACTTAGAGACAGTAGTGACCCACAGTTACTAAGCTCATAAGATTATAAAAGCCAAAAATTCTATACCATCTGAAACCATTCCAATCATTGGAGCCTCTGTTTTACGACAGGAAAATGTAAGATCTGTGCATTTTTTTCGACACATTCTGAGGAAAACCAGATACATATGAAAGCATACTTATATGTGAAATAATGTAAGGTCCTACACTTCACTCTACAAAGCATGAATCTGAGACGTGTTAAGTCTTATTGAAGAATGGACAGTGGCGCGGTTAGGCGGTACGAACGATTGAGGCATGGCTCCCAAGGCTCCAGCGAAAAAACAGGAGAAGAGTGGTAATCAAGTCAAGAAGGTTCAGAATAGCAAAAATGAACCCAAGAAATCACAAAAACCTTCAAAGTCACTTAAAGCCCTAAAAGGTGTAAAAGGTGGCAAAGTAGTGAAGGCAGGGAACAAAAGTTAGTTTACTTGTATTTTCTTGTCATGATCTTATATTATTTCTCGCCTTACAAATGTCTTTTGTCCGATTACTAATTTATTATTTCTCACATCTTGTTATAAAGAGTCTGCAGCTTCTCTGAAGGCATTGAAAGCACAACGGGCCGTCACACTTGGTGCACACACAAAAGGCAAGAAGAGGGTGATGTATACCACGCGATTTAGGCGACCTAAAACGTACAAACCTCCTCGCTGTCCAAAAGACAGAAGATTCCTGATCCCTAAAAGGAACAAGTAAGTGTGTCTCGTGGTTTTTATATTTTCAGACTTGATGCCTTTCGTATCATTCAACATCCGGTTACCACCGAAGCTGCAATGAAGAAAATTGAAGATAACGACACATTAGTGTTCATTGTTGACCGAAGAGCAAACAAACCAGCAATCAAGGCAGCTGTCCAAGAACTTTATAATATCAAGGTTGCAAAAGTCAACACGCTTAATTGCCCTAACAATGTTAAAAAAGCATACGTGAAGCTACCTCCTGATTTTGACGCTTTAGATGTTGCAAATAGAATCGGTATTATATAAGTTGTACAAAAAATACATATGCCGGTGTCTCGGAATACTTGTGTGATTATAATGCTTTTTGATCAGGTGCATAGTACTTTTTCCGACGTAAACACTATGGTGGCACTTCCTAACTCAATAGTAAAAATCACCGGTTTCAGATTTCGTAAACCCACATAGTTTCTTTTCAGATTTGACTGGAATAGTCGATATCGTGACTAGTCGCAGTTTGCGATGGCACATTTTTCATCTCCACTCAAGTCAGTAGTACTAAGTGCTATTAGAGATCTAGTTAATTGATGTTCATCAACGTATAGAAAACCATGAAAAAGGTGAAACAGCATCTCAGGGCTACTCTTCGTTTAATGAGGTAGAATACTTCTGTAGTAAGACCTATCTCATTTCAAGAACTACACTAATTAAGAATCTCTGGAATAGAAAATCAACCTAACAGTATAGTTTTAAGAATTTTGTGATCAATCAACCTGCTAAGCCATTGCATTTGCACGGAATGACGCTAATGATTGTAAGTAAAGCATCCGAATTTGCACTATCAGCTCATGATGTGCGTGTGTCATATTTTATTTCAAACTGCTTTAGCTCTGTGTGCGAACGTATTTGCACGGTTTTTAAGCAAGTGAATTAGGTCAGTATAATAGTTACACAATGGACGCTGAATGTGGTTCATTTTTATTACCTAATTAGATTTCTTTATTTCACTGGTCTTCAAATCATAACATTTTATTGGTTATGTTTATGTATGGTTCACAAATCTGTTCAACTCCAAAAGATGAGACGGGTTTTCATCTAGTTTATAGTCAGTAGTTCAGTTCACTAGAATCTCTAGGAGTCTTAGGCGCATAGGAAAAGTCCGTTCTGTAAGCATTAGCTTTTCTAACTGCTAGGCCTTTGAAGTCGGTTTGTTTTCTGATGTACACATGGAAATTGTTGTCTGTAGTAACATGAATATCGCTAGTACAACCGATAAACAGACAACATGTTGAGACACTCCTGTCACTAGATCTAATGGTTCTCCTCAGGATGTGTTCCACATAATTCTGAAGGGGTTTATGAATTTGGTTGACATCCACATAACGAAATAGTCCTGTAGTAAGTTCAAAAAAATGTTTTCAAGGATTGTATCAGCAGTTTTACTTCCAAACTTCATCCTTACGACAATAAATATATTCCTAGAGATTGTGGTGGTGCATGACTGCAAACACCGACCGGGGTTCTGTTAGTTGTTAGTCAGCTACAACGTAGGACCAAGCGTATATATGCATCAGTTCGAGTTGCCACACCTCATTAGCACGACAAAATGAACACCGAATTCATAGTAGTTACTTCAATGGTAGTAATATATAAAAGAAAGGTTGCAAATGAGGATATAATACAGGAAGGAAGAATTAGTTCGTAGAAAGAAAGGTACAAAGTAATTCTAACCTCATGGTCTAAGGAAAGACAAATAGTGTATACGCCTACACCATTGTGATCTATTCAGAGTCATGTCACTCAGTCTCCAACCATTGGTTACGATAGTCGCATGGATCCCAACCAAGTAGTCTGCATCTACCAACATCTCTCGGACCACAAGTTAGTGACTCCATGGACTGATGCCACGTTTTGGTTTGGATACCTCTAACTCTCTTCCAACCATTCCCAACACTAGTCAGCTTTGCTAAGGCGAATGCTAGTGAGATTTTAGAAATATCACTGGGTTCATTCAAGGGTAATACAGTAGTGTAATTTGTTCTCGGTTTTCACTTAGTGTATTTCTGTTTTGCTTTCGACTTAATTGACTTTTAGTTATGTCTTCTATTAAAGGAAAAACTTAGTTAAGTTACCTAAATCTACAGGTTAGTAAATCGTCTTCGTGTGTACTTATAGCTAGGGTAAAAGGAATGACATTAATTTGTTGACCAGATTAAAGCTAGTGGTTTCAAGAGATCATTCCTGTCTTTAACATTACAATCTATATCTTGACAGTAGCGAAACAAAATCTATTATTAAATAGCCAAAATAATTTCATTTCGAGATTCTTGTTTATATGTCTGTTTATATGAACGGTTGAGAATCTCGGTTTCCCGACTCATATAGGTAGACCCAGCTTTATTTAATAAAACTCTTAAGTTGGATGTTTTATTCTGTTATATTTTAGTAAAGACATAAGTACATGTAACTTCCGGAACCTATTAATGGACTATTCTATATATATTCCTGTTGTATAACTGTTCAGTAACTAGATGATACATATCCATATTCCTCTCATCATAAGCTTCATTTTGATCTATAAACTAATATGCGATTTACTGTTTCCAAATTATGTTCAGTTTATTGATTACTATCTCCTACGTTCACAGCCACATTTAAATGTAGCGGATATTTAAGGTAGAAGTCGGAAATTCGTCGGATATTTAGGGGAAAAATCGGGAATTTAGCGACATTTGAAAAACAGCGACAGAAAGGGTGAATTCCGCTTTATTTCCCCCGGACAGGCGAAAAAGCAGACATTTTGGCGCATTTCCCCTTTATTACGACTTATTTTCCAATGCATTTTCCGCTTTATTTCCCCTTTATTGGTTGTTTGGGTTGGCTTGATCTTGTACAAATATTATTTTCTATTTTATGGTGTGATGTTGTCTGTCTAGTATATAAACCGAGTATGCTCGAAATAAACGATTCGCATAACAGAAGCTGTAATTGGTATTCTAGACTCAATTGGAAGGGCTAGGCGGACAAAGGACCAATAAGGATGCTAGACTGCTCATACCAGTCAAACGTCATTGATTTGGCACAGTGGTAAGATTGAATAAATCGTATTTCGATCGGTGGATCATTCACGTGATGAAAGTTCGGACATAAAATCAACAAATTGTCTACGGCCTTTTTAAGTTCATAACAGATTCCACACCGAAACTTTTGTGGAAATTTGCTTGTCACGTGAAGATAGCAGAATTTTTGAAACCAAGTGCTCAACCAAGTTGGAGCATTTTTAAACGAAAGGTGAACTTGTCATCAACCTTATTAAGAACCTGTATGTGTGTAGCAGTTATCATGTTATTTGTTATGAAAACTATTAGCTTTGTTTATGTTTCTAGTTAATGCAAAACATGACAATGAGTTGGGTTTATACATTGATCATGTCTTCACTCTCTGCTAAAATCGTGAACACCAAAAATATTGCAGGTCAGAGACGGCTGTACTTTTGGACATGAGAGTCATCTTTGTTTCGTATAGTGAAACATATATATTAGAGAAATGTGAACGGGTGCTTGACCTCCTATTTATTTAGTTTGGCCTAAATCAACTTGTTGATATCAGCCCCCTTTGAAATATAGTGTCGACTTGCTATATAAAAGTTTTGTCGAAATTCAAACGTTTATTCTAGTAGTAGTGATATCCACGTGCATATTTGGCTGTCGGTGTCTAGCTGCTGTATCAGTCAGTTATAATAAACACCGAACCTACCATTAATATGTAACGACAAAAGTTACTACATATCACTCCAATGAGACGAAATTATCAAGGTGCCTGACAGAGGAGTTGCAATGATATTAATAAATCTATGAGATTAGAAGAATGATACCAGCCGATATTCAGTGACCGGTAATTATGCTCTGTATTATTGTCTGCGGCATGATTTAAGAAAAGGTAAACAAACAGATTTTATCGAAATTACAAAGCAAAGTTTCCTTCTGAAGCTATAAAAATAATTTAAATAAAGTGATCGATTGCTAATTATTGATTGGTTCTTTACAATTAGTATGTTCGTCATTCTGTTGATATCAGATTAGGTAAGCATTTCTGATGTTGATTAATGTATTTACTGGGTAGTATAAGTAATATGCTCTTGAACTTTCATACATCTGGATCGTTTTTACAAACATCAACAAGCCACCTAACCATTTATCATTTTTATATTATTGTCGAAATCTAAAGATGAAATAACCGTTTTATTTTGTCTTAGGACATTAGTCTTGATGTGTTTCTATTCGTAAAACTGGAAAATAATCCCCACAACACTTATATTTTGAGAAATTATGTATCCTAGTCTGTCCAGTAAATACGCTAATGACTCAACATCAAATTTTAAACAAAACTTGTGAAAAATATTCGGAAAAGTCATGGAACGTTAATGGCTGTTTATAGAAGCAAAGTACTGAAAAATAGCTCTTTAAGTAGATCTACAGCTCCCAAAAAGGTTATGTAGACTACAACCTAGGTGCATCACACCAGTACCTTTGTGCATTCAATATTGATTACTACAAGTTTCTGATTAATGATTGAGTAGTTACATTGTTCGGACTCCTTAGTCATTGACCGTAGCTCCCTGGGATTTCTCGTGTGAGAAATTCAAGGTGGTCGCTTAGAGTAAGCTCCGGGACAATATGAAGACTATAAAACGTAGAATGACAATGTTACCCGAAGAGCTCAATTGATAGAGACTTCTCGGAACGTTTTGGAAAATAAAAGCTTTGACGAAACAAAGGGCAAACATTATGAAGACAGTATAACTGACCCGAATTCCCGTTAGTTTAAGTTATATGGTGGTTGAGCGCATATTTATTAAACAGAGCAATAGCAAAGCCATCGGTTTGATAAGAGAATTTTTCCATTACACCAAAGGTATTCAATAGTTATTTTTCTTACACAATGGTCATACGTAAGTCAACTCCGTAGCCATTACACATAATGGCCTACAGCACTACAGAATTTTGAAAATACTCTTCATGAATGCCAGATGAATGAAAAAAGAAGCCGATTGGGTCATTCAGCAAAATAAAAGCAGTTCAGTGAGGAAATTTTTCTTCTTTACAATCCTATTTATTACAGCTGTATAGTCATTTTTAACAGAGCAGCTTGTAATAAGACATACGTGTTGTGTTTCTAGCAAATTTATCAAAAAATTCCAATTATTTCGAGTATAATCTTCATGGAGGTTTTAAGGCTAACGCAACGTTAAGTTGGAGATAATATCTCAAAAAAGTGTAACTACAAACACTATCACACCGTCGTCGGAAAACAAAATCTATGGTCCGTATTATATATTATTCGCAGTTTATAATCTAAGCATAAAAATCCAAACATAACGTCTACTACCTGTATACTTCCCTCATGAGAATTTATCAGAATAGTTCTTGTAATTCGATTGGTATAGCAATGAAGCCCTACGGCTTATGACATTCTGACATGTTTATGCGCCTTTCTGAACACTTATTCAAAGGAGGATTCACAAAATAAAAGAACGTGATAGTTTTTACAGAATTATTGTACTTCAAATTGAAACATTACTCGATAGTATGGAGGGGCAAATACCAATAATTCCAGAAAAAGTCCTAAACGAACAGCAAGAAGAAATCTAGGAGATAAAAGATGGTCTTTGTAGCCTTAAGAGTCTTAATAATAGATTCGAAAAGAACAATAATTATTATGCAAATTGTTCCGTTGCCATATATTAATTAATTCTTATACTTTCACTTGCTTCTTCCTCACTCTGTAAACGTGCGTATCGCCCTTTTAGACTATTTCCGAAATGTCGCAATTAATTCGTTCTGGTTAATAATTCTGAACAGAAGTATACACTATTTCCTGACTCATATAATATGCTGTAATCTTATCTGATAGGAAGTTGGAGGTAGTCGTCAGGATACTTTGGATATAAGTTTTGTGCTAGTTAGGAATGCTACTACTCGATGAGTAATCAGTTGTAAACATGTCATATATGTGGGTCAGCCGCGGCCTGTATGCCTCGGTGATAACGTCTCAAACTGTGAAGCTGGCTGAAACAGGTTCTTATCCTACAGGGAACATTATTACCCGTAAGACTGCAGATGTGCCTTGCTGAAAGGTTTCATAAAATCAATGTCTTGGATTTCCTGTTTACTACGTCCAACCATCTAACATATCATTTTACTGCTTGCAATTTCAAGTCACTTAGACTAGTAGCCACGTTGCAACTTGATCGATAGGATTCGACCAACACTAAAGAAAGACTTGGAAACATGGAACTGGTTACCATTTAGTGATCAATCATTTGGAATATTTTGTTTATTCACTTATCTCATTTTCTTTTCGATTGTGCTCTTGACTACATAACTGACTCCTAAGCACTTCACAGTTCGATGATTTTAGTTTTCAACTTTTTATTTTGTTTCCCGTCAATATAAACATACTTCTAAACATATGATATCTTGTTTATTGGTTTCGATTATTTTACATGGAAATTAGTCGTTAGATTTTAGAATTCGTTCATCGACATTACATTCATATTAACCTGAAATAAGTATATTATTATTATTAATATTATTATTGTTGTTGTTGTTATTGTTATTGTTGTTGATAATCTTGCTTTTACAACGATTGTTATGATGTCCAAGATGTAGGCTCTAACAGTCAAGTCTTAATTGACTGGAGATTAATTAACCTACAAAAGTAATATTATCCAGTCGCTTATGACGCCTTATCGTGTTTGCTTCGAGTTAGAATTTCGAATAAAGGGATATCATTTTACTACATAAGCACTTTTTATTCTGACTGATGATTTTGTCTTTTGTCTCAAATTATCCTAAAGCGCATTTGTCAATATTACGGTCTAGTGAATGGTCGCCATTTGACTACGCTTCCCTTCGTATCACTGCATATCTACCTATTGATTAGCATCTATTTAAACAGTTGAAAAATTCACTCATCAAATCAACAACTCCTCTATAAAAATAATTTGTGTTTGTAAGAACTTTATTTGGCTTCTTTCTTTACCATTCTATTTTCTGTACTTTTTCTTAACTGATTAGTTCGTGACTGTGAGATTTCCGCAATCTTCACCAAAACCTCTTTACTAGTTATAATTGTGTTCATTAGTGACTAGCTTTAAGATGCAATTCTTTCAGTTCTGGTGAGAGGTCATGACCAGTGGAGTTCAGCTATGTTGTATATGAAACAGTTATCCGTCGCAGCTAATGAGTGAATGTTGCTCACTATCATGAGTCGATTGCAGTTGAAGATAAACACAGTTGTGTTACTTAATGGTCTAGAGGCTAAATGTCTACGTATAAGTTAGAGGTCCTAGGTTTTATCCCTGACGGTGGGTTTGTGAATGCGCACTGCTGCGGAATCCCATACTAGGATGAAACGGTTGTCTAGGGCCTCCAGATTTCCATTGATGACGTATGTATGAATGATCCGTGATGCAAACCACGAAAATATTACAATCTCTACAAACGTTCGTATACTAGTTATTACTCAGTTGAAATATTTGTAAACAGAGTTACATATTTTTAAAATTTTATTATATAAGTTCATTGTAGTTTAAAATGAAAATAGTTGAAGAGCAAACAGAAATAGACGCTCTTGTTAAATTGAAAGGTGGACCAGAAGGAAATCTGTCATGGGATCCAGAGGTGAGTCATATATTAATCAAAATCAAAATATATAGCTTTTTATTTGAGACTGGGATCTAAAGGTGCCACTTTTGTGCTAGGAAACACTCGTCAGTAAGACATATCTAAAATCCTATAGGAATCGATGCTCTTCACCGAATTCAAACCTGTTTCACCCAGCGTCATACAATAAAAGACATTAACTTTGAGCTCTTTGGATCACAACATCCTAACCCATCAATTCCGATTGCATAAAATCAAAACGGCACCGGATATCGAGTCAATTATACTAAATAGTATATTACAACTAGATTGGTAGAATTTAATCAGTACTAAGAATGAGATAAACACCTTGCTGATTACTACTCATCGATCAGTCAGTATAGATCTTAGTGTAAAACTAGACAGTCACTAATTCTTATGAATTATGAAGACAATTCCTTTCATTGATTGCAAATTTTTACTCCTTATCTAAATTGTTTATCTAACAAGTATTAGTAATTTAACATCATCTTAGTAACAAAACCTTAACAATTCACTTAGTATTATTTGTTTGAATCTTCCCATTGATGTTTATTACTGCAACTGGTCAGTCTCTTATTGGCATATGTGCATACTGTGCTTATTGCCTCGATACAGCCTTAATTCACAAGCAATGTAAGCAAAGATGGATAGTGGCTAGCAGTGGAATCCACTGCCGATTATTTATATGGAGTTCAAATAAATTATCTGTACTTTTAATAATTGAGTTTAATTCGAAACGCTTTTTATGTTCATCAATTGTATTGTACCCAGAACATTCGATCACTTTTTAGTGTATTTGGATTGTATCTTCAAGTGTAATTCTCAATAAAGATTGTACTTCAAGCCCTTACTTATAGTATATATTTGTGTTCTTCATCCAGGATATCAGGTTGCCCTAGACTGAGCATATTCATAACAAACACTTGTGGATAATTCTAGACTATTTATTCAGTTTGTTTTCTACTGATTTTTGTCTTTATGCTTTTTTCTTTCAATGTTATTAAGTTCTCCAAGTTAGATCGTTGAATTGCTAAGTTTTCATTGTCGTCCTGGACAACATTGTCAGTGCTTACTCTATGTAGAAGTGAGGATTTATAGAAGTATGACATTCAAATCAGTCAGCAGTCAATAGACGCATAGATTTAAATCCGACCTACAAATTCATTCGGAAAAGGCACATAAATAATCTAATCGAAGGTTAACAAAATAAAATAGTCACCTTGATTACAAAGACAATTGAAGATAATGAAACCTATGAGGATAACCAATCACACACAACTCTAACAGAACAAACTGATTTAAAACTCGTGCAATAACTAAGAAGTTCACTGCTACATAAAGTAAGCACTAATGATGTTGTCTATAATGAGAATATAATCCTTACAATAAAACCACCTAGCTAAAGAGAACACAACAACATTGAAAGAATTTACCTGAGGTAACAATTTTCATTAATTCAAACTGCTCTTTTCCTTTCCGTTTTTTTTCATTTAGCCAACATTACCCATAATACCAATGGTTAGATCCCAATCATGGGAATTAAGTACACTTATATTTGACACATGTTTCTATTTTATTCTTACTATTATTATATTAGGAAAAGTTGTAATTATCTATCGAAAATTTTATAAACTTTGTAATTATCTATTAAGAAGATTGATTTTCATTGATACAACCAGTTCAATGGAACCGGAGGATTGGAATAAAACACATATTCATAATTATACATCGAATATAGTAGAATATATTCAACAATCACCTGAAACATATAAGCTTTTCATTGAAGATTATAAAGAATTATTGAAGATCTTAAATTTTATTGATGAATATAGTCGTGAATAATGAATAGCTAACATTAGCCGAAACAATTTTTGGCAATATAAACTTAAAAATAAATTTGTTCCATACCTCTCTTGGTACATTTTACAAAGAAGTATCTTCCAAGTTGTAATATTGATTACCTTAGATCTTGATTATTATTCTCATTACTGGTCATAATTTTTAACTGAAGTTACCATTTAATACCATAACAGAAGTTTTGTGTATGTGTGTATATCTTTGATGTGCAAATCGATCAAATGTCTGGAATTGCCATAGGAGTAAATCCCTTAATGAGATGTAAATATGTAACGGTTCATATCTATACTGAAGATATGTTAAGTCCCAAAGGATTTGCAGGATAATGAACGTAAGGAATTCAGGGGAATAGATGAACCGTAGAAAAATTCGACAACAGTGAGCAATGATAAAGGCATGAGATTAAGACAATCTGACAATGGAGACTTGTAGTGTAGATTTCGAGGTCCAATCATTAGGATTATATGTTACTCATCGTATCAGATAATAAAGCAACCCATGTGGGCATAAGGTCTATAGGCTAAGGTTATCCGCAATGTTTTCCATGTTCGATAAGTATGTATCTAACACTTTCAGGCATCTTTTTTGTTCAATTGGTGAGTGGTTGGTGCATATTAGAATTGATTCTTTATCAAAGATTTCATCTCATCGAAAATAATCCCCACGATAATATGTAGCTTCCGTAGACTCTGAACATCTTACATTTAAGTGAAGAATCCTTCTTTTCAATAGTTTAGTTGGAATCTTTTCTGTTACAGGGAGCTTAGCACTTATATAATGTGTTATGAATGTGCTCATTTCCCTCTCCAGTACATCAGACATTGTAGCAGCAATGAAATTAATAACAGTCTTCAACGACTTGACGAAATTGCCTGCCCGAATATTAGAACAAGAGGGCCAAGGAGTAATGAACAGATATTTCCGCTCTATACCATTCAACGACGTAATAACTACATCTTCAACGGGATATGAGCCGTTACTATAAAGAACCTTTCCGTCTAAATACTTTCCTCAATGTCTAGGGAAGTCATAGAAACTACTTCAAGGCAATTAAAAAAGAATTAATGATAAGTTCATATTATGGTATGGTATATTAATCCTTGTCAAAAGTGGAGCAGATTTATCTAAAAGAATCTAAATAAAGACATCTTTTACACTATTTTTAGGATCGTAAAGTCAATCAAGCGCATCTTCAGCGTCAACCGTGGTTAACGTTTGCTCCGCCACACGGAAATTCAACTTTAATGTGTAATCACTGTATATTCTAGGGTTTTGCCATCAAACTTCAAAGGCGTAACGATAGAAGTATTCAAAACTGAAAATTGAACTGGTTCAGTTATTTTTTTTTGTCACTTAAAGCATTCAATGTATTGTTTACTGCTTGTCAAAAATCACAACTGATTATTCGTTTTTTAGAATGACTGGATTTATCTATACTTGGATTTCTGTAGGCTGGATTTTCATCCCTCTATTGAAATTAGAAAATGCAGCTGTCAAATCTTTAAGTACAGAGTCAGAATCTTCTTTGGAATCTGATAAAGATAACTCTACTCCAAGACTTTTAAAATTTCTGAAACATTGTACTGATGGTCCCATTTCACCCACTACAAACTCATAAGGCATCTATGAAGAACTGTAGTCTCTAATTAGCAATTCACAAAATCCTCGTATTGTAAGTCTGTTCCCGGTTATTCCCAGTATCCAAACAAAATACACATGAATTTTGAAAGTGAAGTTTACCACATGTTAAAAATTTGTAGTCATATCGGTGTAGTACTTTGGGATCCTTTATCGAATTGTTTCTTATGTTTTTACGACAACGAGAAATCTAGTTAAGCAAATACCTATCCGCCAATGAAACCAACCCATTCTGTCTAAAAAAATATGGGAAACCATCGGTCATCCAAAAATATTTTCACACTAAATGCTTACCTGTATACAAAAATGTCAACTACAGAGATAATCTGTCAAGACAGTTGTTCTATAATGATAATGCTGTTTATAATAAGTCCTCGCAGAATTTTATCATATACATAATATACTACTGTATTAGATGAGTAGTCGTGATATCTTAGCGTTAATGAGTAATGCTCGATTTTTAACGATTTATTCATCTGCTCACATAGTGTGGAAACTACGGAATAAATATGTTCCATACTGTAATGAAGTAAATTCTGGACGAAAAGCATATGTATTTGAAGAAGGTTGTATTTCGCACGTGCATCCAATTATCGAAATATCTATATAGTTTGAATCTGACAACATCAACAGTATACTATCAGTCTTACTTACATGATTGTGTTTTCACTACAATTTATACATTGTTATTCAGTGGTCTAGAAATTAGGTCTTCGAAGGCAGGACCAAAATTCCTGGGTTCCATTCCTTGTAGTGGGGTTGCGGATGCGTACCGATAAGAAATTCCATACTAAGACGAAAGAGTCGTTCAGTTCTAGGTTTCCAATAGCTTAGGTAGGTAGGTCACACCTATTGGAAATCATCCACTTTCATCATAAGGCAATCCATCACTTAGAATCCTCAAAGCAAAAAGTGAAAGCCAAAGAATATGTTGCGCAGGAAATCAAACGTAGACATCAAAGTCCGATATCCAAAACCACAGAGTTTGCTTGATTAAAAAACACTGACAGTGAATGAGATTACGAAATACTTGTTAACTGAAAACCATATGTTTCGATATGCGTTCGCTGTTGCGACGATTATCTAGACTCAGACTCTTCATCAGGGATTGGCATGTTAATGTTATATTGTGGAACATGGGACGATGACCCACGCACTCTAATTTCAGATTTCATCGCTGTTTCCATCAAAGAAAACGAAAACAAAGTTGTTCTCGACTGTAGCCTAAATGTCTCTAATAAAAACACTATTTTAGACCTAATCATGCTGAATGTTGGTGATAATGAAATCTAGACACTTGAAAGAGATATACTCAAGTGCAAACGTTATATAAGACATCGACGATCAGAGTGCTTATGTAACTTGGAACTAATATATAATAATTTCTACTTAGGTCCAAGGGACAACCATGTTACCTTTATGCAAAATTTCTATTTTGTAATTGATCTATTCACTTGAAAATAGGTAGTGTACCTGTTCTGTCAATCTCCAAAACTTTTGAAGTGAAGCAATATACATTATCATCGTTCTGTACTCGACACAATATAGAAAATGTGATGACTTTTACTGAAAATTAGACAGTGATTAGGATAATATCAGAAGTTTTCGCAGTCAACAATTGTACTGTGATACACGACTGATATAAAATCAATACGAAAAACCTTACCGTTCAGAAAATCACCAGTTACTCAATGAATCAAAGTAGTGAGTGGTTGTTATTTATTTGCAAACTGCTGAAGGATTTCTTTCATAAACAAAATTAACCTTTATGTACTCAAAAAAAGATTTGATAACTAAAATATCCTTGGTTTGTGGACAGAGGTACTTACTCTGCCAAAAAAAACTGATCAGAAAGAAAGCAAATAGCTTATAACAATTCTAGGTAAGTGGGGTTCGAACCTGAGACTAAGTACCCGAAAGTAAAATAACCCAACCACCAGGTTACCGCTAAAGTAGTTGGTGGTATCTATTTTAGATTTTGGTAGAAAGACATTTATTAAAAGTTCAAGTAACATCACTTTCAACTTAATTAGTTTGTAAAATGAAAAACAATGGTATATGAGTCAAAATAAAACAGTAGTAATTATGTTCACTACCACCTATTCCTTTGTTGTTCATGGAGTTAACGAGCGTCATCGTAAGTTTCTCATTAATTTCATTGATTCAAGTGATATATTATCAAAACAATAGTTGGTTTTAATTTTTTTTGTTTCTTCGTCAGGAGATATGAACGTATGATTCTTGTTTATCATGCCAAGGAGAAAACTTCTTCATTATATTTAAATGAATCAGTTATTGAAGATATTTATTCAGTGCCTTTATGGATTTGAATCATTTCATGAAGTATAGTCGTATCAGATTGTATGTTGTTCATAACTTCTTTTTTAGCAGTCTATCAGTAAAGTTACACTCATCAAAGCCAACTTTGTTTCCAAAGTCTCTTATACCATATTCCAATTAGTAGAACTACCAATATTAGTAAGAAATAATTCACAGTGTATAAACTACATCATAATTTTATAATTGAAATCATGAGTCAATTGAAGCTAGACCACCATGAAAAACTTGGAAGCACTGGACGGCCGATTCGTCTTATTGCGGGACTCCTCAGAAGTGCGCATCCACGAGAATCGAAATCAGGACCTATCAGTCCCACAGTAGGACGATACGGCCGTCCAGTACTTCCAGGTTTTCCGTGGTGGTTTAGCTTCACGTGACTCATGATTTCAACTATAAAATTACTAAAATCTTCACAGAACCCCCTTCTGATATACCTTAATTGTTTGTAGAAATATTACCACAACGCGCAATGCTGACTAAAATTGGCAATGGTTGGAAGAGTGTTAGTGGCGGTCAAACCAAAACGTGGCATCAGAGCATGAAGTCACTAACTTCTAGACTAAGCCATGTGAGTAGATGCAGACTACTTGGTTGGGGTCCGTGTGTCTATCGTAACCAATGGTTAGAGACTCTTGGTGACATGGCTCAGAATCGATCACAATGGCATAGGTGTATACACTCTCTATCTTCCCTCAAACCTTGAGATTAAAATTGCTTCATGTCTGTCTTCTTTCCTATACTATATCCTTATATACAACCTATCTTTAATATACTACCACCACTACCACTACTAAATTAACTACTTCTATGAATCCGGTATTCCTCTTGTTGTGCTAACGAGGTATAGAAACTTGGACCGATGCATATATGTGGCTGGTCCTACGTTGTAGCTGACTGAATGACTGTAGAAATACACAATCTGCTTGTAAATTGGACTTCACTCTTTTAAAATTCTAATTCTTGGCTGAATCATAAGCACCAGTAGAGTAAACGTGTCTGTATGTGTTTATACATAGAGGAGCTATAATTTAGTGTTAAATTATATTTTAACAAAACAACATTGATATTTCTAAGTTAGACAGAAGTACTTTCATTTTTCATTTGTCTACATCAGTAAGATAAAAATGTTATATGTAGTTTTAAGTTATGTAATTGAGTGCACATTTAGTTACCTAGACTCTAATAACGATTACTCTTCATTAATATTTGTTCATTTCAATTACTCATGTGATACAGTAGTATTTATCATACACAATAAAACTCATTTGAATTTATTCTAAGCATTATTATCATCCATTATTATATCCACAATCCCACCATAGGAAATCGGACACAGAACCTTCAGTTTCACACACGTGAACACTTAGTCTCTAGACTGCTGAGCTGAGATCCTCTTTTTCCCAAGTTTGAAATTCAGTTAATTCACGATATTGCACAAGTATCTTTCATTGTCTTCGGTGAATACTTTCCTTACCTACGCCACGGTTAAACTCCACTTCCAAGAAGTTCTATACTAGGACAAAACAGTAGTTCAGTGTTTCTAGCTTTTCAAATTGTTGCCCAACTTAGACAGAAATCAGTCAACAGTTATTTGTAAAGAAATATTACCTCTTAAACCAAAAGTATATATAGGCGGTTGTACCGAGGAATTAATCTTCAAAGTATGAAAATTCTTGTTATATTAGAACGTTTTAGAAGTTTATCACTGTGATAAAAATATTAACACAAATCTGATCTTTTGGTAAATCTTGAAAATTTGGCAAACAACTCCAAAAGTAAGCTATTTATTAATCGGAATTTTTCAATTAAACCGATTTTTCAAAACTAATAATAAACATAATCACTGGAACTAACTCATCAATATCTTAAATCATCACAACACAGGCCTATTAAACTAATTGTAACAAAATTCACACAGCTTTATTTTCAAATCTCAGTTAATACTGTTATCTAAATGGAGTATGTAAAAGCTATTTATTATCGAAGTATTCAATTCAGTGAATTTATCATTATCAGAATGGACACGAAGACACGAGATTAGTAGTAGTTCGTTAGCTTGTTTCAAATATACATAAATGTTAGTATATAGTGCAGTCGAGCTGTGTTTATGAATACCACTTCCAACAAGTATCATTTATGAATGTTGGGAGAGATTTTATCTGCTATTTCATTAAATCATTGACTAACTGTATGTTACTGATTAGCTGAGTTATTTAGACTCAACATGGACAATCGAGACACACTTGTTCGAGACCGAATGTTGTATTCAATGAATTAGTTTTTAAGGAAATTTCAAGAAAAGACAACCGGATTTCAAGTCTGATTGATTTATTTCAGCAGAAAAGGATTAGCTTTCTTTAGAAAGATACTCCTTTTACTCTAGTTTACTCTTAATAGATATGTCATTTTCAAGAGGTGATCTGCACAAAATTTTGCTTAGTTCTAGTAAAAGAAATCAACTACTATCATTACAGGGTTGTGGAGATTGTTGAGTTTCGGTTGAAACTATGAATAGATCAATGTTAGACTACCACTAAATCCCACGTGTGGGGTAGTAGATTCACACTATTGATGAGTCACATACTACAACGAAACGACTGTCCAGTTCTTCCAGATTTTCAATGGTGGTCTAACACTGATCAATTCATGATCTCAACCGAAAACCAACTATTGAGTGATGACTAACCCAATCATTATGTAATGAACGCACACTCAGGTGGGGACAACCAACTCATAGATTAGTACGTAATTACAGAATATATCGTTAAAATATGGAAACCATACACTGAATACTTCATTTGAAAGTTTCCATCAATTGTCTTTCACATAATGTATGATTCTTTTATTTCACAATTCTATTCTATCTTCTTAGCCTTCTGGTGCTAGGTTTTCCACTTCCGATATATGTTACGCACTATTTATGTTGAGAGACATAAGTAGCATACACCACAATTATACTGGCAATACATTCTAAAGATTGACAGCCATAAAAATGAAATTCAACGCTTTTTTATCCTATTATCGTCTTAGGTTACTTAATTATAGTGCTTGATAAATTAATTAGCCATTAGACATTCTTTTATTGATTAAGTTTAAACCAGTCACAAAAGTTTGGGGAATAATTTGAACGTATGTGGTGTGTGAATTGGGAGATAATCGATTCAATTTAATCGATGGTATCGATCAACTGATTTAACTTTGAATAAAAATAAGGTCTTTAGTTGATGTGTATTAATTGATATAGGAAGGGGGCTTTGTAGACCTTTTCACAGTTTACATAACGGACTGATATTAGACAAACATTGAAAACTAGGAGGTATTGAAGGACTGTTTAGTTTCAGAGTGAGATTATTAAACAGTGTCAAAACACATGGTTTGAAACAAGATGAAGAATAATGGATCTGAGTTGCTATGATAGGTTCCAAGCCATGTCACTCAAGGTTTTCAACTAATGATAAAGTTATCTCACGAACTACAACCAAGTAACCATCATTTACAACGAAGGATCACTATATTAGCCAATAACTTAATGATTTGATTGCCCAAGCTTTCTTAAAGCCGACTTCTATCCAAGAAAAAAGTCATGAGAGTTTTGATCTATGGTGAATAATCTATTTGGATTAATTTGGACAACCCAAAATTAACAAGAAATCGGACATAACGGTATTCATCTCTAATTATTAGTTGAACTCTTCCTTCAGTGGAGTAGTCTATCGAATAGTCTAGCACATTTATTTATTAACACAAGATACTGTTCAGTGGATGTGTGTTAACTGATTATTTATTAATAAGATATAAAGTCGGGAGAAATTTATGAGATAATCTACTGTCGATGGATGTTATGCCTTCGGATTACTGAGTTCGAAATTTCAGTATAAGTTTATTCTATACAATAACCGTAAATCAATGTATTCGGAGACTTACTATCTAATTCGCGATTCAATGGACACCCTAGATCCTAAAATTTCTGTGAAACCTCAAAAGATCCAACTCGAAGCTAGTCTCTGAATCGTATGTAACGATTGCTTATCTAAACATTTTGTATAACTAAGATAGATTTTGTCACAAATTATTATCATTCAGAGATCCAGTGAATACTAGAAGCTATGTGTTTATTCATCAGATGTTGGTTCTTTTAATCAAAATTAGTACACTGATCGGTAGATCCTCAACTAATCAACACATTTTATTAAGAGCATATAAAGTCAGATTATTTGAAAGTTACTATTACAATTAAGTCGATTTTTACATTTCACAGTAAAAAATATAAACCTGTTTATTTTCATTTTTTTCATACTGGCTACTTCAAATCAGTTATCTATAATGGATAGTTTTCATAGTGGTGAGACTATAATTTCTGGACAACCTTTGAGCGGCGCCAAGGTGAATTTGAGAATGTCCACCCATCTACTAGATTTAGATGGGGACTGCAAATTGGTATCAGAAATTAAAATTAGGATTAACAGTTGAATGTTAGAATTAGGAGTTAGATTCAGGTTTTTCATTAGGAAATGATATAAACTATCATGCAAAAATGCTCTTCGAGCAAATTTATGCGTGAAGTTCACATCAAAACTCAAGACCCGTTACCTTAAATATGATCGGTTAATTCATAAATTATAGTTACGCCGGTTATTGGAGTACCAGAAGGAACTTCTGGTAAGGCTGTTTTATGAGTTTCCTTTCGATATGTCGGATTCCATAACCAAGTTAATTAGTAACAATCTGGATTTTAAAGGTCAAGTAAACAATATTTAAGCAGAAATAATGCAAATATTACAGCTCTCTGTTGAGATAATAAAATATCTTTAACGACCATTCTGTGTCTGTTTATGCGTAGAGTTGTGTATCGCTGCCGTTGTGTTCCAGTTTGTTCGGTTTCCAATAGAACCATCAGTACAGAACATTTATTAGTGTTTATCAGGAGGTCATGTTATCTACCTCCACAAATAGTAACGAGAGCTTAATTTTCAAGAACGGCATAACAAATACCATACTTTCTTTTTCTGATTCAACTAGATAGTTTATGTTAGTGTAAAAATATGATATTGCTGATAATGGTATTGAGTAAGAATACTGTTTCTTGATTGTTCAATATTCTATCAAGACAGTTATCCACCTCAGACAATAGATGAAAGGTTGTACAATATGATGGATCGATTGTAATTAGACATTAACATCTCTGGATACCGGTTCATCGGTCTAGAAGTTAAGTGTTCGTGAGCGAAACCGTAAGTCCTGGATTCGAGTCCCACATGAGAGATCTTGGATGTGCACTGCTAAGGGGTTTCATACTAGGACGAAACAGTCGTCTACTGCCTCCAGTCTTCCAATGGTAGTGTAGGCTAGATAGATTCATGAATTCAACTGTGTAAAAGCACTGAATATCATTATTATCCAGTATTTTGAAATTCACAAGAAAAAGTTAACAATATAGACTACAAAGTAAATCCCATCAATGTGGAAAGTTATTTATTTGTCTAATCCAATTGATAATTCAATATAGACCAACCAGTCAATAATAAGTACATACAATTGGTTGTATTATTTTATTTCAGCCCATTGTCTAGTTTACCGTGTCAAATTATGATTGGTTTATAGATTATTGGTTAAATCAAATTTACCAATGTCCAAACGTCCGACTGGTTACTTGACTATTAGTCTGCATGAAAAGTTGAATGGATTTTTTCTTATCTCTGCTTATGTTTTATATCCCCTGTACTTTCACAACATGTGAATGTTAGTAAGAATTTATTTCAGTTATGAAAGCTTATTAATTATTTTCAGTATTAACATCAGATATTAAAGTAACCAATTAACCAAATGACATAGGAATGAAGACAACTGGAATAGATTGTGGAAATAAAACAGATCAAATCAGTGATTGGAATTTGGAATCAAGTTTAAATAATGTAGTCTCACGTGTACCAGGTTCCTTCTGGTGGTATGATACATCATCGATAGAATCTGACGGAATAATCAAACGATATTATTGGCTTCGAATTCCTGCCCATGAACTCTCTATCAATTTTAGTCAAAAACAAAATGTTACTGATCCTACAAACATTCATTCAACTAAATTATTGGCTAGACTATTATTACTTCATTATAATGAATCAATAAATATTTCAGGTGTTCAACTTACTCCACAAAATCAGAATCAGATCATATGTATTGATTGTTATGTACCCCAGAACGGAGGACACTGGAAAGTAATATGGAGTGATTTAGGACGAAACCTTGAATTATCCATAGCATCAGATAGGGAACATTGTGATCTATCAAAAAAATTGATATCAGGAATGCCAATACAGTTAGGACCTGGTTTACGACTTATTGGTTGGGCATCCGGTCATTCATATTCGTCCAAATCTTGTGATGATACATTACCAGGCTGTGAGACGCACAGCTGGTGCTTTATTATTCCTATAAATATAGAACATTTGTATAACGTGACCGTACTCTTATTATTACCAAAAATCAAGGATGTAAAAATTAGTCCGCCTACGCATCCCTTTCAATCAACAGGATTGGGTGGAAGCATTAATGATATAAACCTATTAAATACCGACAAATGTCAACCTTTCACAACAAAACAATCCAATTTTACACAAATTAAAGAGTCACAACTCAGAAAAAATTCAGACCTGTACAACAACAATAGTAATTTTTCTTTCACATCAAGTCTTTTAGGATTTGGATCTAAATTGGCTATTATCACACAGCCGGATAATTATCAAGGGAAATTAGATATGAGTTCTATTAATGTCGATTCAATCTGTTCCCTTGATGCATTAGATTATCGTTGTCGTGTTGGTGATAAACGTAAATTCTGTCAATACACATACATTAAAACACAAAGTGGTACTCCAGCCTATAAAAATGGAGCTTTTATAGGTCAATTAAAAAATGAGCGTCAAGAAACAAATCTAGAATATGATGATCAAAATAAATTGTTTAATGATCAACCATTTATTCTAGATCACATCAAAGAAATGAATTTAGATGGAACACATTTTGTATCATGCATGAAACACAATGTGACCATAAATTGTGATTCTTCCGTAGTAACAAAGGCTAAAAATGAAAATGAATTTAATTCAAAATGTTATGCTGAAATATATCCAGTAAGTTTCTATCATTGATTTATCGACTGAAATTTTATTTTGTATTTTTGGAAGGAAGTTTATTTTTCATTATGAATTGATATTATTAAATTGTTACCCGATAAATGGATGGAATCTTGTTAGACGACTAAGGCTTAAACGGTTTATCTTCAAATCTAAATTGGATATTGGATAGGAATCGTTTACATGGTATACTGACAAATCATTCAGATTTAAGACGGAAACTATTGAAGTTTTGTGAGAGATTAAAAACGCGATGACAGCTTATATCTTACTAAGAGCTGGGTCCATATAGCCTAATATTCAGCTCTTGAGATGCTTAAAATTATTAAACATATCTGATTTATAATCATACAGTTAATATGACTTAGTGTTAAAGTTAAATCAAAAAGAATATCTTCTCCTGATGTAAGATGTATCTGAAGCTTTAACTGCTCATTTAAAATAATTGATGTGATTGAAGACATAATCAGGGATGCTTTTGAGGTCTTTCAAGTTCTTCCACGCATTATGATTTAACTAGTACTGAAAAATTATTCATTTATTTATGGTATTATACAATTGGGGGCTACTGTTTTCACGGCTGAATAGGGAATGTAGGTGTATCTTCAAAAATGTGATTATAATCATTAGGTTTTAAATCATACAAGTCATCTATTTGACCCTATAATTGGTGTTCGTACTAATAACGTTGAACCAGGATTAAAGAACTATTTTCTTTTTTATAAAAGCTTTAAAGTTATAGCGATCTTCAGTCGTATGAATTTAGTTCTTTTATCAAACCTACTTTGATTTTAATATCGATAAACCTATAGTGAACCTCAGTAATCTAATCATTTATGCTGAACGTATAATTTCTAACTTAATAGGTTTTGTATAATAAACTATTCATATATTCCGTCTGCATTCTGATTAGCTAATGATTGATCCAAAGCCTCTAAAATGGTATAATTTCACTATTTAAAACTATTAAAACAAGACAATTGTCTAGTATTTTCTATTTTTCAATGATATTTCAAGTAGCAATAATCAGTGGTAAAAATTGACTACAAGGAAGTAAGAAACTACTTAGGTACCGTCTAATTAAGTTTCTATCTTTCTAATTGTTCCTGATAATTTACATAAAACTCCTAATAGATTATTCACTAAGCACGTATTTTATGCAGTCGAGACTCAAAGATAATGTTTCGTGTGAAGGCTAATCACACCACCTGGCTGCCTAAACTGAAATAAACGAAACATGGTTCGAAGAGATAACCTTTTAGTTGGAAGGCAGATATTTTAAAGACTAAGCCACAGTTTTATTTACTTTAGTAACAAACAGTAAGTTCCTAATTAAAACTCCTATTGCATGTTATCTTTAAGTCTAGATATTTTGTAATATATTTGTTAGTTTGAACATGTTTAAGCCTAGTACTTACTAACACTTAGAGTGAGTTGAAGAATGAAATAATAAGATCGAAGGTGATTCACAATGATCAACAGTAAGACTAAGTTCACTCCAAATAGAGTTATTGACTATTGAATTAAGTTGCGTACATTATACTCTATTGGTTGGATGGTATTTTAATAATGGTTAGATACACTAAATGATAGGATTAATTAGTAATTTAGACTATCGATCTGCACTTGTTTATATCTTGTAAATTGTAGTTTTGAATTGTCTATATTTGATCAGATTTTCTGTTACTTCATTAATTCGGTTGTAATGGAGAGTTGTAGAGTATAAGCTATTTCCATTAAAGTAATTTAAACATTCCCTACCTAGGAAAAATTGGTTTGTTTCCACTAGTTCTACTTTCTCTGGTTTTTATTTCTGTTATGTTCCGATAACAATAGTGAATGATAACTTTGGAATCCATTTATAGACCAATATTATGCATATAATTTTCATCGGTATATGCTTATGCAACTGGTGATCCGTTACAACCAGGCAGCTCAACTAATTTCATCTGTTATGGAATCTATTTTTCATCAATTAACTTTTCAAATTGACTTATATCCAACCAGTTGTTTCGTGTATACTATCACATAAGTACATAATGAATATTGATTATTCAGATTGAGTGAATGACATTTCTAGATTGTATCTAAAGAAAAAAAAAGTGTTATGGAATGTTGACAAAAGGATGAAGCGAAAGATTCAAGTCTCTAACAGTAAAAAAATGTGAAATGTACATTTACTTCAATCATTTTATTGACAAAACTAATTTTATTTAATTATAGAAACTTTAATCAACCATTGTACGTTATTATTATCATTATCTGTGTGGGGTTTTGGATTCTATTGAATGTTACTGAAATTACTTGTAACTAGCTTCAAGTGAAAATTACTTGAGTTGTAGTAGGAATTCGTATCTATTAAAGTTCAACGATGTTGGGTTTGAGGCAATTATTTACCGCAGGCAATGGGAGATAGTTGTACAGTATATCGAGATTAAGTGTTTGAGCAGGACCAGTGGTCCTGGGTGCTACCTTTGGTGACGGGGTCATGAGTGCCGCTGTTGGGGAGTCTCATATTAGGACAAAATAGCTACCTGGAGCTTCCAGATTTTCAGTGGTATTCTAACTTAGATCGGTTTGTGATCTCAACAAAATAATGCATTTTTTCCTTAGTTTTTAAGACTATCAGAAACTTATTTATAAATTTGATAATGGCTGAATGATAGTTAAAATGTTTGATTTAAATCAGATAGTTAGTTTTTGTATTATTTGAAAGACGAATTAAACACTGTTCTAACTGTTAAGTCATTGTTCAATCCACTAATGAATCATGATAACCATTTGTAATGATTGTTAGGGTATGTAATTTCTCAATATTGACTTTTTAAAATTCAGACTGGTATGTGGACGAATAGGTGTTGCCCAACAACAAAGAGCTCATATACCTAAGGATACCTTTTATTTGACCCTAGAAACTATTGATACGGCGGAACTATAAACATGGAATGACAAAGTAGTATGCTGCATCGTTAACTGTGGTCAGTTGAAAAACTGATCATCATAACCAACGAGATCTAAATTTTAATTTATTTGACATTGGTATTAACTATATTTTATCGATCCTCTCATTTTTTTTTCTATCCAGTGTAATGAATACCATTTTAGGACATGAGACTGATCTTGTGGTGTTTACTAATAATCAAGTTAACTCATTTGTTATAGTAGTGTGTAGAAAACATGTATGAAAATAAACACGTAAGATACCCTAAAGAGTTGTTAATTGTCAAATTGTAATAACAAAGTATACTGAAAGAATGAATAATTTTTATGCAAATTCCACATGATCATAGAAAGGGCGTTTAGAAAAGAAAGAATCATTCTGTTGTTATGATCTAACAATTGATTGACGAGAGTGTTGTTTTCTTGTACTCATCATTTGTGTTATGTAAAAGTTAATTTTCTTACTTTCTGATAAGACTCAAATGTCCAGTTGTTCATACTAATGCAAGGGTGTATTTAACGAGATTATTGAAAATTTAACAACCATTAAACAACGGAACTTCAACAATATACTTGTGTATGATTGTTTAAAGCAGAAAGATGAAATTGTGACAAACGGTGATTGTCACATTTTAAATAATAATAATGAAATAATGAATTTGGGTTCGTTAATCAATAAAAAGAGCGTTCAAAGGCAAAGTATATCAATGATACACCAATTACAATCCGATTCTATACTCAGAGGTCAAAGTTTGAAATGATAGTGACTAATAAATAATGTTACGATTTTTCGTATTAGTCACTACAAGTCGGTGTCAAAAAATCTACCAAAACCTAGTGAATTAAATGGCATTAACTAATAAAAGACCATGTTTTAAATATTAATATAAAATTATCCATCAATTTCTCAATCATTAATCGCTGTAGGGTATCCAGCATATTCAGGGATTTCCAAGTCTACTTAGCTGATGAGTTCTGTAGTGTACTTTTCACCGGAGATTTCGATGAGACTACAATTTATGGATGACCTTTGAACAACACTAAAATGACATTGGAATGTCCACCTACTTACTAGGGTTAAATGAGGGTTATAGATTAGTGTGAGGAATTAGGATTTACTGTTGAACGTTAGGGTTAAGAATTATATTTAGGGTTTCCATCACGAATTGACATCAGCTATAATGCCAAAATGATATTTAATCAAATGGGTGAATGGATTTCGTGCCAAAATTCAAGACCTGATATCTTAAATATGATTGGTTCGTCTATAAATTATTTCAAGTATTTGAAGGTATTCAAATCTGTTTACTACAGACAATTTAGTATGACTCACCCTAACATACCGGATGAAAAACATAAATTTAACGAATGTTAGATCTGAAAAGGAAATCTCTAGCAAAAATTAAACCCCAGTATGCAGCAATCAGCTACGAGGTGAAAGGAAAAGTGACCAAAATTACTGGATACCACACAATTATTGAGTATTAAACAAGGGATGGGTAAACACATAGATATTCTTTCCTGCTCAAACAGATTTATTTTCAAACGAAGTTATAAGCAAGGATCATTGAATTCTTATTCAGTGATTGATTAGTATTAGGGGTCATAAGTAACCACTATTAACCAACCATATAAGAGATCAGAGGGACCTGTTGACTATCCATTAGATCGCAGCGATTTTCTGGTTGATGTTAAAAGATAATACTTGTTAAAAACCTCCTTTAAATTTGTCACCAAACATAATTATCACTCCTTTTCTTTTCTTACAAAATGTTTTTATCAACGAAATAAACCCGAGAATTCAATCTCTACTTTTGTTATAATCATAGTGATAGGTTAAATTTAATAATCAGTGAGACAGAATTTACTTTCATATTTCCATAACCAAAGCAAGAATACATAACTGATATTTGTGTATCTAATTCTGATATTATTTGTCAGTCGTTTTCGCTTCATCATTAGTACTGACTTTCAGTTTATATTTTTTGTGAAAACTGTTGATTTTTCATTGCGTAAACCACTAACTAATCTTAGCTAAACTACCATTGAAAACCATA